TAATATTGTGAAATTTAATGCTAATAAATTGATTGACTAGTTCTAAGTGAATATTATAGTTCTGTTGCAGAATATGTTCGTTAGATATAATTCTTCAACTATTCTCTCTATTCTCAAATTATTGAGGAACTATTATGTTGGTTGAGKATAGTTTGTTATAAAAAAAAAAACGTTAATAATAATAATATTGAATATTAATAGATATATTAAAATAGTACCTATAGCCAGTATAGCTAGTACCTACACGAGTGGCAACTWACAACTTATTATTATTATTAAATAAACTCTAAAACAAGTATTAAATAATAAATAGTAGATAATATTAGAATAATAATAATTGAAAACTTTAATCAAAAGAGCTTTCCTGATATCTGTACATATTTGGATCGTGTTAATATGTAAAACATCAGTAGAAAGTATCACTGTGGGCCATGGCAGTTCACGAATTAAATATTCAATCAATTTGCTAAGTCCAAGAACTCCACCTTGACACCTCGAAAAGTAGAGAAAATAAAATGTCGTGTTCCCCGGCAGCTCGGATTGGATATTTCTTTGGGCAATCGGTATGATTGCACGATGATATTGCTCATATTTTATAGGCCTAATACTCGGCATATTTTCCTTGCACTGTAAAAGTTATCCAATTTTATTCAATAACGATATAATCACTGGAAAATCAACGCCGATTATAGTAAGCTATATTCGTAGACCACAGATAAACATATTATACTGTACAGTATACGTTGTGAGGCATACGTACGTATTATTAAATAATAAGTTCAATACAACTACAATTGTAAAAAACTAATAAATCCTATTCTAATGAACATGACGTACATAATAAATGTAATATGTACGTACAAATTGAAATTTTATAATTTAATTTATACTATTCGCCAGTCACCACACACTTGCAATTTAAACAGTTACCGTGCGTCACCTCTAAGCTGCCAAAACGATTTAAAAATTCAAATTAAATGATTTCATTTTATTGGTTTTGCAGTGCAAAAAAAGAACAAGTTAGCTAACCTTAGCTAGTTTATAAATAGGTTTATAATTCAATGTTATTAGATACCTACATAACTAAACGTATATATTATATATGTATACATAAAATATGTCAAMGTGACATTTAATTTACTTAATTAAATAATATATCGTTTAAATAGGTATTTTAAATGAGTCTGTTGTATGTG